GGGGCTGTGTCCCCGCCATGGGGTTATGTGTCCCCCTTTGCCCTCCCCCTGCAATGGGGCTGTGTCCTGCTGCCCCCCAACAGGGCTCTGTCCCTTCAATGTGCCTGTGTCCCTCCTCATGTCCCCCCAGTGGGGTCCCGTTGCCCCCAACAGGGCTCTGTCCCCTCCTTCCACCTGTGTCCCCCCCGCGCCCCCCCCAATGGGCCGTGCCCCCCCGACGCCGCTCACGGGGCTGTGCCCCCCGCAGGGTGTTTCGCCCGGAGGCGCCATGGGCAAGAGCTGCAAGGTGGTGGTGTGCGGGCAGGCGGCCGTGGGCAAGACGTCCATCCTGGAGCAGCTGCTCTACGGCAACCACGTGGTGGGTACGTGCGGGCGGGCGGGCGGGCGGGCACCGGCCCCGGCAGCCCCGCCGAGCCTCCCGCGGCTCCCGCAGGCTCCGACATGGTGGAGACGCAGGAGGACATCTACGTGGGCTCCATCGAGACGGAGCGCGGCGTGCGCGAGCAGGTGCGCTTCTACGACACGCGGGGCCTGCGCGACGGCCTCGAGCTGCCCAAGCACTGCTTCTCCTGCACCGACGGCTACGTGCTCGTCTACAGCACCGACAGCAAGGAGTCCTTCAAGCGCGTGGAGCTCCTCAAGAAGGAGATCGACAAGTCCAAGGACAAGAAAGAGGTGAGCGAGCAGCGGGGCCTCAAAGGAGGGGTGCCGCAGGGCAGGGCCTGCCCTTGTCACCACTGGGCACCCAGCCCTTGGCCTCTCCTCTCCTCTGTAAGACCCTCATCTGTCACACCCTGGGATGCTCTCGGGGGAGGATATTTGTCCCCATGGCCATTCCCCAAGCACCGAGCAGAAGGGCTCTGGGTGGAGGTGGCTTCTGACATCTGCTGAGGGGGCCGGGGCCCATCTGGCTGCTGCTTTGGGGCTGCCTCTCACCTCTCTCCCCTGGCCAGGTCACCATCGTGGTGCTGGGCAACAAGTGTGACCTGCAGGAGCAGCGCCGCGTGGACCACGACGCGGCCCAGCACTGGGCCAAGGGCGAGAAGGTGAAGCTGTGGGAGGTGTCCGTGGCCGACCGGCACACGCTCATCGAGCCCTTCATCTACCTGGCCAGCAAGATGACGCAGCCGCAGAGCAAGTCCGCCTTTCCCCTGAGCCGCAAGAACAAGGGCAGCGGCTCCCTGGATGGCTGAGCCTCGTCCTGCCCTTCCTCTCCACTGCCACCTCCTCTCCCTCACCTGCGTTATCCTCCCGGAGCTGGCGGGGAGCCTCCGGAGGCGGAACGGGCTCCCTAGGGCCGGGCTTTGGGGATGGCAGCGCCGACGCGGGGACGCACGCGCGGGGTGGGGCCGCCCGTGGGCATTGAGGTGCTGCGGGAAGGCGGGCGCCGCTCCCCGCTCCGGGGCTGCCGGGGAGGCCCGGGGCGGCCCGGCCACGTCCCCGTCCCCAGCACACGTGGGAACGCTCCCTGGCCGACCCGTGTGGGAGACGCGGGGCGGCGACGGGGCTGTTGCTGCGAGCAGGGCCTCCGCGCGCGACACCTTCCCCGCATAGCACATTCCCTGCACATATCCCATCCCCGCACATATCCCGTCCCCGCACACATCCCATCCCTGCACACGTCACTGTGCACATCCTCGTGCACATCCCATCCCAGCACACATAGCCACCATGCACATCCCATCCCTGTGCACATTCCCAGGCACATCCCCTTCACTGCACACATCTCCGCACACTTATCCACCACGTACATCCCATCCCTGCGCACAGCACGTCACTGTGCACGTCCCCATGCACGTCGCCCATGTCCCATCTCCGTGCACATCCCTGCACGTGCATCCACCACATACATCCCATGCCCATGCCCATCCCATCCCTACATGCATCCCATCCCTGTGCACATCCCAGCACACATCCTAGCACGTATATCCACCGTGGACATTCCATGCTCACGCACATCCCATCCCTGTGCACATCCCATTCACCATGCACATCCCTGTCCACATATCCCCTGTGCACGTCGCATCCCCGTACACATTCCTGTGCACATCCCATTCACCACACACATCCCTGCGCACATCCCAAAACACTTCCACCATGCACATCCCATCCCCGTGCACATCCCATACCACACACATCCCTGCGCACGTCCCCACACACATATCCACCATGTACATCTCATCCCTGTACACATTCCATCCCGTACACATCCCATCTCCACACACATATTCCCCATACACATCCCATCTGCACGCACATCCCATTTACCGTGCACATCCCATCCCCAGCACATCCCATTCACTGTGCACATCCCATCCCTTGCACACCCCATCCCCTCCACATCCCAGCGCACATCCCACTGTGCACATCCCATCCCTGTGCGCATCCCATCCTCTGCACATCCCTGCGCACATCCATGCACACATATCCACTGTGCACATCCCATCCTTGTGCAGCACAGCCCATTTCCCGCACATCCATGCACGCATATCCACCGTGCACATCCCATCCTTGTGCACAGCCCATCCCCTGCACATCCCTGCATACATCCCCACCGTGCACATCCCATCCCTGTGCACATCCCATCCCTGTGCACATCCCATCCCTGTGTACATTACATCCCCTGCACATCCCTGCATACATCCCCACCATGCACATCCCATTCCTGTGCACATCCCATCCCCTGCACATCCTCACCACGTGCATCCCGTCCCCGGCGCCACAGCGCGAGGGGAGACTCCTGGGGCAGGCCTGGCTCTGCGGCAGATGATCACACAGCCCTGGCTGGTTGGTACCTGTTCCTTTTATTTACCGAGTAACACAATAAAGCGATGAGATTTGATTATCAAAATATTTTCCTTTTTCCCAACAGTTATAGTACATCAAAAAATATACAATGAACGTTACAGGAGGGGTACTGGCCACGTCCCTAGACTCTGCTTATTTCGTTTTGGGCGGGGAGAGGGTCTTGATTTATTTATTGTTTTGGAATCAAACTCTGTTCACGTCACTCCGCGGGTATTTACAGGGGTCACACGTTACCGAGCGCTATGGACTATGCCCTACTACCTAGTACAGCGGACGCTAAGTCAGAGGCAGTCGATGCTTTGGACGGCACAGGAGCTGGGGGGGGGCTCTCTGGGGCGGGGGGGCGGCGCTGGGGGCTGAGTTCTGACGCAGCTCGTTGCAGTTATTGTTATCGGAAGGAATGGCTTTCAAGGGATAAAGTGCCAAGTGTGGGAGCGCGCTGGGACCCCACGGGCAGGGCAGGAGCAGCCGCTGCTGCTGCCTCCAGCAAAGGCTTTTTGGGGGACAAAACACCGGGGAGCGACCCCCTCCCTGTGGGCCGGCCCGGCCCGGGGGGGCCGTTCGTGGGGCTGCGGGACCCTCTGCCCTGGGCTGCGGCAACGCCAGCCCCGGGACCGAATCCATCGTGTCCCGCGTCCCCGAGCGGCGGCATCGGTGCCGGGGCCCCCTGCCCTCCCTGGCTCAGCGGCCCCGTCCCGCTGCCCTGAACCCCCTCCCGGCACCGGCACCGGGGGCTCCCGCCGCCCCTGGCGCTCCGGGACGCGGCAGCTTTCGGGAGCGACGCGGGGGCCCCCGGCGGCACCGCAGCGGCCTCGCTGGCGCTGCGCTCGGGCAGCCCCGCGCCCTCGGTGCCCGCGGGGCCGCCCCGGGGCTTGCATAGATCGGGGGTTGCTCCGGCGGAGGGGGCCACGGGGGTCGCAACGTTCCTGCAGTTCCCTATTTACAGCAGCACCGCGGGCAGCGCGAGGGGCCCCCGCGGTGCCGCGCTCACAGTTTTCGGACGGCGCCGTCGCGGGGTCTTGGAGCACAGTGAAAAGCGGCTCCCCGGGGGGGCAGGCGGGAGCCGGGGGGCCCCCGGGGGCGGCCGCAGCCCCCGGGCGTCTCCCGTGAGGTAGGGGCAGGGGGGCGCCGGGCGCTTCGGCGCGGGGCTCTGCTTATTGCTCCGTGCGGACGAGGCCGCCCCGTCTCGTCCTGTGCCGGGGACCGGGGCGGGCCGCGGCCGGCGCCCCGGGGCGCCCGGCGGCTCTAGTAGGGCGCGAAGACGATGGGCCCTGGCGTGGCGCGCACGGGCGCCGGCGGCGTCCGGAACAGCGCCGGGCCCAGCAGC